TCTTGCATGATTCCAAATTGTCTTGATTTAATTAACTGATTAAATCTCTTTTGGTCAATCAATTGAATTAATGACTTTAGAATACTATTTAGTTACTCCTTAAAAAACACTTGTATGATCCCTTAATATCTGATTCCATTAGGTGATTAAAGTCACTTAATCACTTAATTTGAATTAGATTGACACTAGGACTTGTGTTATGCACGTTCCCTTAGGTCAAATGCAAATTCCCATTCTAAAACCCTAAAAAATAGGTAAAATATATGCATGACAACATTATGATTCATCCCCCATCTTTGGTACCATATCCCATTCATTCAATCATGTCTTTGCATTTATTCATGTAAAACTAAAAGTTTTTTTGCAAATAAACTCAAAATATTTAACAAATACGATGTGAATTGTGCACCACGAGCCTTAAGAAATGGAAAAGGATGAGAGGGTGTATTCCCCTCCTTATTCAAAATATCTTTGGATACGGGACACATGACCTAGTTGTTCAAAGTATCCATATCCATTAATAGACTTTAGTGCAATTCAAATCAAAGTCATTCTCATTATAATAGGAAGGAAATGAGGAGAATGTAGACTCTCTCTCTCTCTCTCTCCCCAAATGATTCAGACACTGTTGTAGAGCTCCCTGTCTGGATATTTGTCTTCAGATTAAAATCAATCACAACCAATATCAAAAACACTCCATAATCATTCTCTCTTGGTTTCAATATGATTCCTCCTGGCTTTGACACCCATAGTTATTCCTTTTTCCCTTCTGCCTTAATGATCCCCTGGTTTAGACAAACTCTTATTCTTCTTCCCATTTACCTTATTAATCCATTATTTTAGGCAAACTCTTATTTTTCTTCCCATTTGCCTTATCAATCCTATGGTTTAGGCAAACTCTTTTCCTTTTTCCTATTTGCCTTGTCAATCCCCTGGTTGAGGTAAACTCTCTTCCTTATTCCTATTTGCTTGTGAATCCTCTAGTTTAAGCAAGCTCTTATGCTTCTTCCTGATTGTCGTCTTAATCTCCGGTTTAGGCAAACTTTTAAAATTCTTCGCCCTTGGTTTAGACACCACTTTTACAATTTTTTTGTCTTTGGTTCAAACACCACCTTTCCAATTATTTATCCTTGGTTCAGACAAAACAATATTTCTTTTTATAAAAGAACTGTTATAATCCATTCCTTAGTAGTTAGGCTAACAACTTAGAGCATATGAATCAGGATCAAACAACTAATATCAAAACGCTTCTAGGATACGATTATAACATCTTTTGCTAAAATCAACCAACAAATACTCATTTTCTACCCCACGAATTACGGAGCCCTAATTTTCTCATTGCACCATGAGAATACGCATGCATAAGGTTTTGAAATCTTAGCGAACATATTAATTAAAAAACCTATTTTCTCCTTTAATTAAAACCAATCGCAAGTAACATTTAGATAATAACACCTATTCGCACAAAGAACAATCAAAACGGTTCCTGTTGAGTACAACAAATATGAGGGATGCTAATACTTTCCTCTTGCATAACCGACTCTCGTACCCTTTTCTCTTTCCTTTTTGTTTTATTGATATTTTCCCTTTATCTTAGAATAAATAAAATTCAGTGGTGATTTTGTTGTATTTCGAGTGTGCGAGATGTGCTCAGGTATTTTTCAGGTCGCGACAGCTGGAACATGCAGCGATAACACGTGAACAAGGAGCACGATAAGATTGAAACTTTTCGCAGTCACACAATCAATTTAACATGTCGACCTTGTAACGTTCCATAGGCTTCCCCTCACAGTGGTTCATCGTCTCATTCATACTGAAAGTGTGACGTTGGTAGTAAAAAAGGGTTACCTGATGTGTGTTGGATTTTGATGTTTCTTCTTTCATCACCTTCATGCAATTTTCCGTAAATGTTTTCCCATATTCCAACACTGCACTCCATTGTGCACCCTTTTCAACAAATAGTGATCCCATCCTATAGTAGGTTGCACTTACTAATGATGTGATGAGCAGATTATGAATGCCTCTAAAGACTGGGTTTATTGTCATGTGACCCCAACGCCGATCCTCGTCAAATTCTCGCCTCCATTTTTGTACTGGAGTATTGTCTAACCACTTTAAAGCATCAACATTAGCTAACACAATTTCTTTTCGGTAGTATTCAAATGTCGGTCGGTTTAAAGCATACCATATATGTTACAAAAAAAGTTATAATGTTATAATATCTTATTAACTAATATATAATGTTAACAAATAGATACTTACATATGTTAAAAACTTTTTTCGAAGGTTTTTGTCTTTGATTATAAACAAGGAATCTCAATCCGTTCCACTTTCCATATGTGAGCAAGTACGTATAAAACAAATTATTTTTTTGATATGTTATTTAGGTATTTTCTAATAAATATTTCTCTTTAGGTGGTACGCATATGGGATGAATTACAAAAAATGCCACATCATTGTGTTTCTGGATATCAAACGTTCTTCAATCATTTCGAGGTGGGTGATGTATTATCTTCGAGACTAAACTACTAATATTTAAATTTTATTTATAATTTTTAACTAATCATTTAAATTTATGTAACAATTTGTATGAATGCCCTATCTTGGACTTGAAGATGAGGATCCAATTGAAAGTGACATGTGGAAATCAACAACGCTTTTAATCTGTTTCACTACTGTTAAAATGCATAATTCAGATAGGTTAAATTGTCTTAACACTGTCTTACATGGCAATATCATGCCAAAAGAACGTAAATCGAGTAGGAAATACATAGATTGGTATATACATGTTTCAGATTTGTATCTATCACAGAATATATTACTATTTGACCATCGTAACCAACCTTCACTTTCAAACTTCCAACACACCAGACCACCAACAAGCACTTACACCCAACAACCGATATTTAACACCCAACAATCTTTCAACCCAACACAACCACCTTATACCATGAGGCAACATTACCATCAACAACAATACCCACTATTTAAGTTAACCCCTACAACACCCAACAACAAAACCTAATTTTCGCCCCTTTAACATCATATACTCAACCACAAATCTCTTTTTACCAATCACAAACATTCACCCCGACCTCATCCAAAGACCAACAATCCTACATTCGCTTCATGTATAACTCAATGCCAACTACTACCCAACCAAACTAGAATTACGGGGTAACCAGATTAAGTTATGGCAGTGCGACGACGATGAACCTATTAACTGGTGACATGGTCACTGACTTCATAAATTATAAAAATTACGAGGGGCCTTTTACTCAGCCATCAAATGTTGGTAAGACCAAGTACCTCGTAGAATGTCACACGAATTGGAGAAGATCCAGCATGTGGAACCCACCACTGCTTTCAACGACCGAGTCAAAATCAAAGATAAATGAAAGTTTAGTGTAATTTTATTTTTATACATAAATAAATAAATAAATATTGTTTTAATTAATATTTTATTTGTATTATTATTTTTATTTTATTTATTAATTAAATATAGTTTTAATTATATTTTTTTGTATTTTATTATTTAAAAAATAATTAATTATAAATAATTATAACCAATTAAAAATAATTAAAATGATTAAAGTTATATTTAAAATTAAATTCAATTATAATTATAAAAACAAAACAAAACAAAATACGATTTAAAGAACCTTCCAATGCATTGGGCTGATCCTCTAAACTTTTACACTTTGTCGCTAAAACATTGGACGGTTCTCTTTTATTTTACAAGAATCCGCCAAATCAATGGACAATTGTCTTATAAAAAAAAAGTTGAAACAATGGTATTTTGGTAGGTATGTTGAAATGAGGGCTACTTTAGCACTTTTTATGTTTCAAAAAGATGTCGTTTTAACAAAAATAAATATTTTAAAATGACTATTATGTTCACTTTTTTAATGTATAAATGATCGTTACTTTTATAATTATGTTTTTTAATTATTACTACCTCAATTTTAAAATGATTGTCATTTAAATTTTTTCACTTATCATAAAACATTATATTTTTATTAAATTAACTCTTTTAATGTGTTGAAGTAGCATAAAGAGTAATAATTAAACAACATAAAAATAACAATCGTTTCTACATCAAAAATTAATAATGATAATATATATATATATATATATATATATATATATATATATATATATATATATATATATATATATATATATATATATATATATATATATATATATATTAAAACAACATTTTGATACATAGAAAATATTCTTTTATGTTACTTTCAACATATTAACGAGATTAATTTAATAAAAATGTAACATCATACTACAACTTCCATTACATTTCTTAATCTTTTGTGGAAAATCCTTAAACGATAATGTGTATTGTGTAGTACTTTGCCTAAAAATTGGAAAGGCAGTGCAAAATTCAATTTTTTTTCATATACAATATGGTTGGAGGTGAGGATGGTGTTGCCACGTGTATGAGAACATTTCCACCCACATTGGAATGTGCATACTTATCCAATTCAATAATGTAAGATGAGGTTACGACTTACGACAACTTGTGGTTTCTAAGTCATAGATGGTGGGTCCCACTTGTAGCTGTAGTGTTACCGTCTCTACCGGATCTATCATCCATGCAAAACTATACCAGTCATTACGTGTCATCTAGTAGGATTACTAGTACTTTTAACCGTTTTATCCAAAAAGAAAAAAGTTTAAATTGTACTAATGTAATAAAAAATATAAGCATTGAATTTGACGCAACATAAATCTTAGTGTTTGAGTCTTGTTTGTTTTTAGTTCGATTTCGTACCACTTTATCTAAAAGAATCTTTAAGTTATTTTAGTTTTTTTTTTTAATGTACAAAATTATGTGAGTGATTTTTTTTGTTATATAAAAAGAGGTACTATCATATGAGTTTGAGATCATCTTTATTGCAACTACAATCTCTAGGCATAATTTCATAAAAGATAACCACTCGTTTTTCGAAAGTATCTATCTATAACAGTAAACGACGACGATGAAAACAATGACAGCAACGTCGTTTGATGTCTCCGCCGCTTGCTTCCATTCACGCCCTCTAAATCTACGCCATAACACTACCATGACTAGGTAACATAACATTTATGTTTTTCTTTTCTTTTATTTACTTCTGTTTCTTCAATTTGATAGTGTTTTTATTATGTGCAGTTTTTCGTTTGTAAAATCCTCCAAGTTTAACAAGGGACAAAGAAGCGTTCTTGCTCAACCCAAGTTTTTGAACTTCCGGTCAGTGAAAAGAAAGTGTGAATCATAATTCACGATCTTCAATAAAAACATGACATTTTTTATTTTGATTTTGTTTTTGCTTTTGTTTTTGTTTTTGTTTTTGTTTTCAGTAATTAACACTGTTGATGGTTTTAAATTGAAGCATGATGTGTAATTTAAAGGGGAATTTGGAGGAGGTTGTTGGAGTACCAACTTCAGTGCCGGTGCGTGTAGCTCACGATCTTTTTCTAGCTGGTCATAAGTATCTTGATGTAAGGTAAAGTAACCAATTTAATTAAGAGTTAAATATATTTGTAAGTGTTAATTAATTGTATATTATAATGGTGTTTTGGAAGAAGCCAAAACTCACCACTTTTCTTGAATGTTTTTTGTGATTATGCAGGACCACCGAAGAGTTTAATGCTGGACATGCACCTGGGGCAATTAACATACCTTATTTGTATAGAGTTGGATCAGGTTCTATTTAAATTCCCAAATACTTTGGTTAAGTGTAATTATCATGATGGTAATTAATATAATATTCTTAGTGTTTGAGGTTACCTCATTTTTTGTTCGTCATGTATTCAGGGATGACAAAGAATAGCAATTTTGTTAAAGAAGTCTCTTCACATTTTAGAAAAGAAGACGAAATTATTGTTGTGAGTATGTTTAACCTTTGCCATATTAGATTCTGTATGAGATTTTCATGTATTCCAACTTGAAGAATCTGTTGCTGATGTTCATGTTTTTGCAGGGGTGTCAACTTGGTAAAAGGTCTATGATGGCTGCGACTGATTTGTTAGCTTCTGTAAGCATTTCTTCCTCAATAAGCCTTAAACGTTAGGCGTCACGTACCTCAGTGTCATACGATACGTGTTGGAAATATTTATTTAGTCTTGTCATTCAAATGAGCTCAATAATTGTGTAGTGACAAAGTTTTGTAATATGTATAGGGGTTTACTGGAGTCACAGACATAGCTGGTGGTTATGCTGCTTGGACCCAAAATGGACTTCCAACCGAAAGATGAAGCAATCTATTTGGACTTGAAGCTGTAAATAGAATAATGGCTAGTATTCTGGTTGGATCATGTAAATGCATAAATGGTTTTACATATACTTGGTACAATTAAAATTGATCTTAATTGTCACAAGTAAACAACAATGTTTTAAGCTCTGTCTCTGTAAGTTCAATTACTCCACTACAAAGTCCAAGCACTGAAGTTTGTAGCTAGCATTTCGTAAACGAAAACATGGCTGAGAGTGGTGGCTAAAATTTCCAGGCCTCACTTATTTAGTCCCACATCGAAATAATCTTGTCTCTTTTACTTTAACTTTTTAACAGAGTAATGTTTGATTTTGATAGTTTTCATCTAAAAAACAACCGTATCTCAGAAATTATATTTTATTTTTCTCGTTTCATTTCTACACTACTCTACTAGTTGATTTCAATTCAAAGTTTACACGAATTTTTTATTTTTTATTTTTATTTTGAAATTTAAAAACTAAATTAACTTTTTATTTTGAGTTTTAAAATTTTCAGAAATTAAAATAAATTAAATTTTAATATTGGGTTGAGAAATTTTCAAAATTAAAATTAATTCTAAACATAAAAATAATTATTTGTTATAAATAAATTTTAATGAAAATGATTTATATAATTATATTTATTAAAATATTATAAACATATAGATAATATATATTATCTAGTAGTAATTTTAAGGTCAAACAAATCTCATTGCTATTTATATTTTATGTTAATAACTTTTTATTCTTTTTGCTTTTTCAGTTTTAAATAAAACTTGATCCTTTTAGTCACTAAACATTTCTAAAAACATTTCAAAAAGATATAAAAAAATATATTATTAAGACAAACATTTCTAAAAACATTTCAAAAAGATATAAAAAAAATATATTATTAAGACAAACATTTCTAAAAACATTTCAAAAAGATATAAAAAAAATATATTATTAAGACAAACATTTCTAAAAACATTTCAAAAAGATATAAAAAAAATATATTATTAAGACAAACATTTCTAAAAACATTTCAAAAAGATATAAAAAAAATATATTATTAAGACAAAGTATAAACGAACAATTTAAAAATTAAGAAAAAACAAAGAGACAAAACTGTAAATACGCAGAAGTTGTAATATAAAGGGAATTGCATTTTACAAATTTGGAAGACTACAATGCTATTACATTAATTATATATGAGTATTGAGTTAGTTACTTCTACTAACTAAATATAACTAACTACCTCACAACTAACTAATAAAGTTAGTTATAACTAATTAACTAATAATACATGAAATTTAATTCTCGCCCACCTTCCTGTTAGTAAAGAAAACAGATAGTTTATTGGTCAGTTAGTTTATGTACTTGTAACAATTGTAGTAAATTATTAAGTTATGTTAATAGCTTCTAAATGTCCTAAGAGAACTTCTTCTGTAAATGAACAAAAATACTAATCTTGATGATTATTTGTTGGCTTTTATGTTTGAGTGGAAAGTAATTTGAGATAACTTGATTAACGAAAATCCTTAATCATCAATATTCCAAGACCACGATAAGGTTTCAAGGGTACAGTATAACAACAACGCATGCGGAAGATATCACCGGTTCATGCTCTAGGTGTCTGTGTCTTGGGACTAATGGGGTATCGTCATATTCACCAACAAATGAATCTATATCAAATAGTAAATAATACATATAAAAGTATACAATGCTTATTATTTCCTACCATAATTGATGTGTTACGATGCTTCCTGAATTTGCCACGCCAGGAGAGAGCAAAATCTTTAACTTTTTAGATCTAATTGTTTAGGTGTCATAAATTTGGTATTGAAGTATTGTTGACACAAATGATTTTTAACAAGTGAAGGCATCATGTTGATCACAATTCAGGGTTATAAAAAAATTGACGAATCATAATAACGATAAAAAATAATTGAATTGTCACTCAAAGAGTTAAAAGATGATAGATCAAAAGTAATTGAATTGTCACTCAAAGAGTCAAAATAATTGAATTGTCACTCAAAGAGTCAAAAGATGACAAGTTGCCGTCAATTAGGTGAAATGTGTGGACCGTTTCATGAGTAACAAAATACAAATTCCTCTCAAAAGTAACAAAAGCCAGACATATGAAACTGCTTTATCATTACGCTCTAAGTAGCATCGTTAGATATTCACAAATTATCACTACGCTCTAATTATTAGATATTCACACAAGAATTTAGTTCACCGTGTTGTTAATACACATTTAGACTTGATATGGGAAAAAATGGTTGCAACTTTTGAGTTTAAACTTTCCCTTTTTTTTCTAAACTTGAGTTACATGGTAGCAAATGCCAAAATGTTAAGCCTTGTACATCTCGTGTCATATAATATTTTTGCAAGTAAACATCAAAGTAGTTTTGGATACAAGGGAATGCATAGAAAAAGCTCCAATTCAAAAAACGTGGTAAATAAAGCAAAGAATTAACATTACACAATGCCTTGATTTTTCGACCATCGCTGCTCTTGCATCCATCCTACTCAGCTTCTGAATACCAATAGTTGAGAGGAGAAAAGAAGAGAGACGCAGATTATAACAAAAAATTAAGGCAATAGCACGGTAGACCAGGACTTTTCAAGAGCAGAAAGAACCAAACTCAATTAATCTTTGGTCAGACTATACAGGACAAAAAGGCGATACTCTTGAACTATCCTTATATGGCTATGGCTACAAATATCAGTGATGGCCGCGCCTAAGTGATGACAGAAAACCATGGGATGACTTATCTTTGTGTCTATCTAATTTTTCATCATTGACCTGGTAGAAACATGTAGCTGAAAATTGTTAAATAGGTCCAAGTTTGTGCTACTTTTAATAATTTAATAATTTACCTCTTTTGCTATTTGCAGAAGAATTTCAATTATTTCAGAGAAAGCTGGTCTCTCCTTTGGATCTTGTTGCCAGCACCGCTCTAGTAGTTCAGAAAGTCTTGGATGCGTATGTTTGGGAATTATAGGCCGTAGACCCTAATAGCAATTTAAACCACATAAAGTTGGTGTGCATAAACAAGAAAACAAGAAAAATAATTATCGATAACATTATCAGAAAAGAGGAAGTAATAAAAACCTTCTGCACGACACCAACAGCTGCTTGTAATGGGGTCAAGTAAGAGTAAGGCAACTGATTACCAAAAATAGAATATATAAATAGACAGCAGTAGTAGATGGCTGATCCAATCAGCATTTGAGACAAGAAACGAATAAAAGATGAAGCGGCAAAGCTCGCTTCCTGACATGAAAGTGCTCACCTCTCCTGTTAAAAGCTCCCAAAGTGATATTCCAAAACTGAAAACATCAGCCTTTTGATCATATGGTTTGTGTTCAATGACCTTCAAGCAAAAGTAAAATCAATAAAGAGATGTGAAATATGGTCAAACATCTAAGTTAAAAAATCAGAAAAGAAATGAAAATATGAATGGAACCAAGGAATAAGTATCAATGCATTACATGCTTGGTAAGGAAATAGCCAAGAAAGACTAAAAATAAAGTGGCCACCATTTCATCTTTTTTAATCTCAATTATGAAATACGAATATAGATAAAACTGTAATGGAAATGTTAGTTTAATGCCCAAACAATAAATTCAAGATCAATATACCTCAGGAGCCATCCAGCGGTACGTTCCAGTTTCAGCTGTCATCACTCCAGACTGAGTTTGCACTCTGGCGACCCCAAAATCAGCAACCTTGACCAACTGTCGAAGGACATGCTCTTTAATTACGTATGAAATGATAATGTTGAGTTTTGAGTCTTATAATATAAGCAATTTTTTTTCATCTCATTTCTGTCTATGCAAGTTTACAATTTACTTTATGTGGTATCCTGACAACCAGCCAGCATTACACAACTACTAGTCTTAAACTTAGTTTTGTACAAACTATAACGGTAGTTACTCTAACTCGAGATGACTTGCAGTTTTGGTTCACCGATAAATTAGAGCCAAAGATGCGGATACTACTATGAACGAGAAACAGGAGGAAGAGATAGTCACAAGACTTGTACCGCAGGATAATGAATATAGAAATGCTACAATTGATTATCATTTGAAACACCCTTAAATTCTAGTAATAAATTGGCACACGCTCAATCTACAAATTTATAATCATCTATGAATTGAAAATACGAGTAAAAATGCATGGCACAATAATAGATATAAGTAATAGATTAATAATATAGGGTTGCATTGAAGAAATAAGACTGGTACTGTCGAGATTTATTTGTAAAATCAAATATTACCAAAATCAGCAACAAAAAAAAAAGGCCAATAACATTGAAAATGCAACGGAAAGTATCAGTGTGTGTATTCAAGGAGTCCCCTTACTTCATTTTCATCCATCAGAAGGTTGGCAGTCTTGAGATCTCTGTGAATTATATTATTTTGATGCAGATAGTTCATTCCCTTGGAAACATCAATCGCTACTTTTATTAAAGATGGAAGTTTAAACACACCCCGTTGTCTGTGCAGAAAGTCATATAAGCTTCCTCTAGACATAAACTCTGATGAAACATAATCACATAAGCATCACAGTTGAATTATTAGGCTACTGAACAAGGCACCCAAATCATCTTAGGAATTGAAGTACTTGATACAACACAAATAGGAAATTGGATATCCTTATGCCAAACTCAACCCCAAAAGCTAGCTCAATGGTTAGCTTGACAAAGCCTTATAAAGATTACTCTTGCTATCCTAGCCGACATGAAATTTCATTAAACCCCCCTCACACTGAGTAAGGACTAGACATCTCAGGCGAGGACAAATGTGGGTGGCTTAGTTACACAAATCTTAACACGCTCATTGCTTATTTAAAAACACACACACACACACACACACACACACACACACACACACACACACACACACACACACACACACACACACACACACATTCACACACATGCTCGGGACTGTCTTCTTGAAGTATAGAAATACCAGTGGTCTAATAATAAATCTAGAATTAGTTTTGATACCTTTTTAGTGGGCGCAACCGAAAAACTAGCTCAAGGGGTAAGGATTGTTTAAAACATACAAAGATTACTTTGCCAAATATCAATAGACAATGTTGGATCTCAACAGAGATATAAAACAAATTATAGATAGGGAGGCTGTGCACAAGGCTTCCCCCATTGTGGGGTGTGGGGAGGGTCAAATGGATGTAGTCTCCACCACAGGCAGATGTTTTACAATCCAGACCCACAGACACAGCGCAATAACCTTGCCCTTGCATCAAGACTCACAGCTAGCCCCTAAACTAATAGTAATAGTATGAAAATAAAATATAAATCATAAATTCTCAGAGTCCTCTCCTACTTACCAGTAACAATACAAAGATTTGGTGGCCGAGTACATGCACCAATGAACTGAACAACATTCTTGTGTCGAATCTTCCTGCAGCCAAAGATAAGTCATAATTGGCAAAGGAAGAATTGTTATGTAGATCTACAAGGATACCATGTTACTGAAATTTACATGGATAAAAAGTACTAATACACAAACTAGTGAAACAGTCAAAATGGAAATAGTATCAGATATTGTCAGAAAATATTCAGAAGTATTTGATGTAGGATACCACAAAACTTTAGATACTATTCCCAGTAAATATAATCCTTTCCTGAGTGGTCATAGCAGACTAGTTAGATAATTACTCTCAGAATAAAGTTCATACCCCATCCAGTATTCAAATTAAGCCAAAATCATGAATTCTTGACCCAGGCATATTACTAGTCTAGATTATGTAATATCAATTTCAGGGAATCTGTTAGGATCCTAAGAGTTGGAATTCTATAATCCTAACAGAATCAATCTGCCGTACAATTTGGCATTCTATATATCTGAAATGCAGGGATTTTTTTCGTAAAACTTAAAAAATTAGAATTACAGTCAAAGTATGCTTCATTTTGCATAATAATGAGCAGTTAGAACAGCTTTGCACAGGTGCATGAGAACATGAAGTTTTCTTTTGTAATTAGAGCACAAAGATTTGTATCAGGCTGACAGTGTATGTTTTCCAACAGATAGTTCAAAAAGAAGTAACAAGATCAAAAAAAATCAACCGAAGGTATAAAGGACAAGAGGTTTGATTTGTCTGCAACTAGGAAGAAATGCCCAACCTATCCAATAGATAATGAATCTATAATACAACTTATATCAAGATGATGTATCTACTATCAAGTTCACCGTTTTTATTCCCACATTATAGTTATCATTTGATACGTAACAAAATCAACAATTATTAAAAGGAAAAGGCAAGTTATGGTGCAAACTTTCATTGCTAAAGTTGCCTTCTCCATTCTCAGATGAAGAAGAACAAATATGCGAAGGAAAGGTGAAAAGCATACGAGAAACAAATATCTCATTAATAGGAAAGAAGTTGAATCAATTATATTCAGTTGTGCAGACAAACCTCATGATATAAACTTCCTGTGCAAACTCTTTCAGCATATCTGTATTTATGCGTTCAGGCTTAAGAACTTTGATAGCCACATCTTGACTGCAATAAGTGCCTCTGAATCTAAGGAAGCCAGTGAAAGAGGTACAGAGATGCATCAGCTAAAGAAGATATGTAAATTTCTAATATGCTTCATACATAAATAACTTACAAGTCACCAAATGATCCAGAGCCAACTTTGTTTTCATATTTTAGCTGGCTGGTATCAATTTCCCAGACATCAGCTCCATCAGATGGTATTTGTATGCAATGAGGGGGCGATTCCATCCTTGTCTGGTGTTGATCATTTAAGGAATATAGTATGCCCGGATTTGACAGATATTGGTCCTACATAAGGTATATTTCATATCAACGAGTCCTTAACACATGAAATTTAGCAGATTGCAAGAGTGTAAAGAACTATTAATTTTAAAAGATGTTGCAATTGCTTTTATTTCGTCCAAATTATTGTAAAATCCTTTTTTGTAAGTCAAACTGTAGAACTTCCATGTCCCTTCTTAATCTTGATTAGGTACCATTGCATCAAAATTCATAATAACTAGCAACGAAAGATGTTTTCTTTTCTTGTTAACAAGAAATTTAAGATATCTTCAAAAACCCTAGAGCTTTGTATTTCGAAATGAATCGCTGAGGAATATACCTTAACCTTCCAGATTTCCTTTTCCAACAAAACTTTGAGCTCCTCAGTTTCCTAATGACAAAAGGGACGATTATAGAAGCAAGATGCTATTTGGATATAGAAATACAATTGAAGATAGTGTTTTTACGAGTTCAAGGCATATATATTTTTATTCTACCTCATTAGGCCATCCCTCAACGACAAAGACATCCAGGGAAAACCCATCAGAGGTGGAAAACGCATGAGCTTCTTGAATATTTAGTCCAACCTCACCAAGTATTAAAGTTAACTGAAATGCATACATAGTCAAGTGTGAGAAATACATAGTCAAATCAAGGACACCCATGTAAAGTGTCAAATTCATTAAAACGTGTTGCAACACGTCAATGGAGGTGTAAAACTTTTTTACACCAATAATTCATTCAAAATCTCCAAGCAATTTGATTCTTGAACAGTCAAAGTTAGTTTTTATGTTGGTGGTTAAGATCAAACCATTCTCCGTATTACTCCGCACCTTAACTCCCTCACCCCAACCACCATGTCACCCTTATAATTTGGGTCATTTTTGTAATCTGATTTGATATTTATTTGAAATTGATGTTGAGATGACAGAAGAGAACAAGGAAGCAGTCCTTTCTCACTGTTTAACTTATGTAAGTCTCTTTGAAAGTTGTTAGATCAGGATATTTGGAACTTCAGCTACTCAAAATATAAAGAGCAACTTAAATATACTAAAGTAGTCTTAACCTAAAAAAACTCGAGTGTAAAATGCTTGTCATTTGCATTTTATGTTTTACATTAAATTATAAATTTACATGAGTGAGTTTGTATTAAAGTTTAAATTTATGTACTATCCAATCACGCACATTCATAAGTGGTCGATCTAATTTGTGTGAAAAATGAGTACTTTGGAAATTACAACTTACAGAACTTGACCCTGTTAAAGAGTCCCATATCGGAGAAGGCGTGTTAAAGAGTCCCCATCAGATGAAATATGGCATGGAAATATGTTTATAAGTGGGGACAACTAAAGCAACACTTGTTCACAAACTTTTAGACCAAAGATCTTGGTCGGTTGTGATACTTTCTAGGAATTGAAGTTGCTCAATCAAAAACAGGCATTGACATTTTTCAGAGGAAATATAGGTATTGACATTATTCAGAGGAAATATGCTCTTGATGCTTGAATGTGAGCCTGTGGATACACCTATGGGTCCAAATTTGATGCTTATACCTAATCAGGGAGAGCCTTATCCAAACCCATGCCAATATAGAAGATTGGTTGCAAAGTTAAACTGCCTCACCATGACTAGGCCAGACATTGCCTTCCCATTCAGTGTCATTAGTCAATTTTTCAATTCATCATGTGAGTCATTGAAATGCTGTTGTTCGGAACCTAAGATACATCAAAGGATCAACAGATTTGTTTATACAGACAGAGGACTCAAAAATTTGCTTGGATATTGAAATACAGATTGGGCAAGAGATACTGGATATAGAAGATCCACTTAAAGCTATTGTGTTTTCAATGTAGGTAACCTAATCTCGTGGAAAAGCAATAAACAAACAGTTGTTGCAAGGTCAAGCACTGAAGCTGAGTACCGTGATATGGCTAATGCAACATGTGAACGGATATGGCTAATGCAACATGTGAACGGATATGGCTAATGCAACATGTGAACTTGTCTGGTTAAGGAATTTGCTTCAAGAGTTGAAGTTTTGTGAGATAGGTCTTATGGAACCTGCTTGTGACAACCAATTGGCTCAACACCTATCGTCCAATCCAGTCTTCAAAAGAGGACTAAACACATAGAGGATTATTGTCATTTCATTACAGAGAAGATTCTCTCAGGAATCATAAAGACTTCCTTTGTCAAATCTAATAATCAACTCGCATACTCCCTTCGTCTCAAATTATAAGCCACTTTGCAAAGCAAATTTGTCTCGAATTATAAGTCACTTTACAATTATAATGCAACATTAATCATTTTATTCCTAATATACCCTCTATTATTTATTACTCTTCCTTCTTCAAATTTTTTAATTTGTCTTATATAATTAATAAAGGACAATATTGTAAAATCATACATAATTTCTCTTTCTCATGCAAAATTAATTAGGATTCTTAATCATGCCCAAAACTAATAATTTGGGACGGAGGGAGTAAGTCCTTACAAGGTCCTAGGATAGCTTACATATATAACAAGCGGGATGCATCTGACATATATGCTTCAACTTGAGGGGGAATCTTATAGTTTCATTCTAGTTTCAGAAAGCCTATGTTTGACACAACATAATCAGCAAGAACTATGTCCATAATTGGTACAAAAAGGTAATGACAAGCAAGAAATACTTCGAGCATAGCGATTTTCAAGAAGTTCTCTAACCAAATCAAAAGGCTAGAAAAGCAAGAGATAATTGCAATTATCATGTTGGATGTCGGAGATTACAGTATAACATAAAATGAGGATTAAATATAGTACTGAAGAGAAATATCACCCAATGATTTAAAAGCATCATTTTACATTAGTATAACAGTAATTTTAAAGAATTAACCACCTGACTAAGAAGTTTAGGCTTGTCAATTGTTGAAAAGGTAATCTCGTGCATGGGCCTAAAATGTAATAAGTGAAAAGATCAGTACCAGTCAAAAATTTAAACAACAGTACCACATTTATTAAATACTATAAGTTAATAGAAACAATCAAACAAAAGGATTTCCTTCTACAAAAAACAAAAAATAGAGTCTTTAGTGTTAAGAGCCCACAAGGCCACAACCTTGCCGATTATATATCTACAGTCTTCCCATTGACTGATTTTTCATTTTTTTCTACTATACATCATACTACAGTGATGAACACATCTTTCTGAAAATGCCTAACAGAACTAAATATTCCCCTATCAAGAGGCTTGCCCTTGGTAAAATATTATCTTCAAAGAACACAGGGTTTTAATAGTCTTCGTCTATATATCAACTTCATAAATAAAAAAACACACTTCTACTTCTACTATCAACATAAGACCATTTTTAACAATACTAAACATAGACAAAGAAAAAAGTGAACACGTTAAGATGTATACCGGTTAAAGTTTGGCGTCACACCAATAGCATTCTCTCCATCTTCAATGTTATTTTTATTTGTTTGAAGTGCAAGAGTTTCAAGGTTAGAGGAAGAACCAAACGTAGGTGGTGCATGAATTCTGTTTTGCCCAAGAAAAGAGAGATAACTCTTAAAAAACAAACTAGTGGCACAAATGAAAATATAATATTAATGGGAACAATTCAACAAGAGTTAGTTAGGATGGTAAATAATTCTTATTGAGCAATGGGAATGATAGAAAATAAACTGACTAGACAGTGTATGAAACGAACTATACCCTTGCTTTAAAGAATAGTTAAGAGAACTCTGTGCATCTTCTTTCTCAGATTGATCTGAATGCATTGAAGAATCATTATGATTTGCGCTACCAAAAGGGTGTACCTGCATTAAGGACGATACAGATATATATTAACCAATCTGCACATATCACTTCTCTAAACTTCATTTAAACTATTTATAAAGATGTTGATTCCAAACAATCCAAATCTAATGCTAATAATAACATTAACCAGTTACAGGCTAATAAACTTAAACAAATTTTAAGTGTTTTTTCTATGTTTTTCTTTTACCTGTACTAAACGAACTTGAAATGCAGGACGATTAGCAGGATCTTCTGCAATCTCGAGCAATCTTTTATGAGCAAGAACATCTTCTGCTCTCTCCACATTCACATCCAATGCATACCTATGTAGTAGCAATCACAGTGACCAACCACGAGACTCGTACAAAAACCACTCTGGCAAATTCACTTACAAAAGTAAAGTAAAAACAAAACAAAACAAAAAACAAAAATTACTCAGCTATTTTCTTCCTTTTTAATTTCCACTTCAATTCAATTCATCATAGTTCATAATAAAAGAAGAAGACTTAAATTAACTGGAATTTTAAATAAAAAAATCAGGAACATGCAGAAACTATAGTCACAAATTATAATCAATAACTTTGACAAAAGTAAACAAAAGAAGCAAGGTTAGGTTATTCAGGAAGCATAGTAAAAGACCTAGCAGGAAGACGATTGAAGTGAAGCCATAATTGATCATCGAAACCAGGAACATGGGCCTCTTCACAATCGGAATCCTGAATTCGACGAAGCACCTCATTGTACACCTCAAGCTTCTGACGATGATGGCGAGGATTCGCGTGCGACTGTACCGCTCTACTTCCGCAACTCTCAATGTCGTTCTCGATCACCATGAGCGTAACGAGAACGAACCAAACGAAGCTCGATCAACAACAACACCACTCAGAAGAAGAAGAAATGAGATCGCGAGAAATTGAAGAGAAGAAAGAGCGAGAAGAGAAAAACGACGAGAAAGGGAAAGAGGAAAAGAAGAGATTTCTTCAGAGATTTTAGTTTTGTTGACGAAAAAACTTTTTATCGTTTTTAATTTTTTTGCTGCTTTGCTTTAGATTGGTTTGGTGGTTCTTCTTTCTATAGGTAAGTATTTTTGGGTTTGGCGCAGTTTGTTTGTTCTCAGCAATCCACGTCAGAGTGGGTCCTACTTAGCGCCTAAAATGGACACACCCGGCAAATTTATTATAAAAAAGTTTGTTGATAAGGGATTAAATTAGTGACAAAATAATATAAAATACGTGTATGTCAGGTGGCAATACTCGCTCGCCTAGTGGTGGATAAATGTTTGATTTCCTTAAAATAGTAAGAATACAAGTTTGAAAAAGTAGGTGATGAATTTTAAGTGTGATTAAGTTTTAAGTTGAATATTAGTCTTATACGACGGGGTTTTACTCAGAATTCAAACATGATACCTTAATATCTGTCTCCAAATTTTAATACACAATTTTTAATTAAATTTTAGACGGTTTAGTCATTTAAGTTATCTTAAAATATTAAATTATTTCTTTAAAAAAAATTTATAGTGATTTAGTCTTATTTTTAAAAATCTCTATTATAATAAATTAGAAACACATATATCATTTAAACTGATTTTTCGTGCTAATCACGAATATGCAATCAAAAACAAGTTACGGTTCATGAGAATCAAGTAAAAATGAATGAAATACATAATAAAAAATTAACGATTTGACCAAAATACACAATCAAACGCAAAACTAATTACATATTCGTGATCATCGTGAAAAATCAGTTCAAATGATATATGAGTTTGTAATTTATTATAACAGAGATTTTAAAAAAATGACCAAAGCGTTACAAAAAAAACTTAATGGACTAACTTTATATTTTAAAATAACTTAAAAGATCTAGACAATAGTTTTGCCTAAATTTTATTTATCTTCCAACGATTTAATTGTAAATTAGGATGACAATGAATAGTCATATGAATGGGTAATGATCTCCCGCTATCTATCATATTTGGTAATTCATCTTTTTCTTTTATTTTGCTTGTTGTCTTAAGTATTCTTTTTTCTGACTATTCTTGCTTTTTTTTTCTTTTTCGATTGACACCTTACGTTCCAGTATAATTCTTTTGATTGTTGTTGTTTTTGAATTCTTTCTATTTTTCTTTCTTTTGGATGATTAGAATGCAATTCATTATCCGCTTGTGCCCTAGTGCTTATGCTATCTTTATCAACATTGTCTTTCAGATGAGTATCATTATCCTTTCTCTTTGTTTTATGCCTATTATTCATTTTAATCTCCTTTTGACTTTTAATGTTGTTGTTTTCCCACGTTTCTCACCCTATTTACCATCTTAAAAGTTGGTGATGATATTGACGTTCAGGTTGATGTGAGTAGAGTCCTTACAATTTGTCGTCTTCTTTTTCTGATAGATATTTTGACCATTTCTATTGTTTTCATTTTCAATGATCTTATCTTTGTACTATGTTCGTGATCTTTGCTCTTTTTGCAGCCTTTATCAGGGGTGCTGGAGTTATTCTGATTGGACTTATTAATGGATATGAATACCCAAGAATAAAGGTACAATCAAATTTGTATTTATATCATAACGAAATGGATTACTAAATATTTGTTTATTGTACTCGTAGATACCCATTAAATTATCAAACTCGTGCTCGTGATAAATTTTACCCACGAGTACTTACGGGTACAAATTTTGTTGTCTTTAAAAAAAATGAAGTGTTAACATTAAAAAAAATTAAAATATTTTGAGTATAAATTAAATATGGCAACTCCTAAGCGTAATGAAATCAAATAGAAAGCCAAAATCTCTTTTTTAAGAGGTTGAATGTATAAGATTTATAGTTAGAATAGAAACTCTTAACAATCCCCATTAAGTTAATTTAGTTTGTAACTATGTAGGGACATTAGATGTTGAAATACGGGTTAGAATCCGTGACATCCCATTCACCTTTAAATAATGAATTTCAATTATAAGACTATGAGAAGAAAAAAAAAAGACTTAACCCTTAATATAGATGTTATTTGATAAATTTTGCTTATAAAAGATAAAAGAAAATGGAAGGAGTACATGTTTAAGCAATATTAATCATCCAAATTTAATGTCATATTAACATAACTCTTTAAAATGATGAGAGAAAAAAATTATTTTGAGAGATATTACACACATGTGATTAAGATCAACTCCAACATATGAAATTTAAAAGTTAATGGATAATATTTGTTCATAATACAATGAATTATAATTAGATGTTTGATATTAGCACTAGTCATCACATAGTTACTATAACCCTAACGAAATGTATAGTGGTTCTAAATACGATCATGAATAAATTCAAATAAGTTATGGTATATATTTGAAAATATCGCATGTTGGTTCAACCAAACATCCATAATCCATATTACTTTTAATCTTCACGGTGTTAAAATTTCTATTCTTATTCTGAGAATACATTAAGTAACACAACTCTTAAGTTACATATGTGTTCAACCAAATATCATGTTACCAATATTATTTTTAATCTTTATAGTGTTAAAATTTCAATTCCATTTTGAGTATAAATCAAGGATTGCAAATCTCAAATTACATGTTAGTCCAACCAAATATCATGCAATCAACGTAGTTTTTAATCTTCAACGTGTTAAAATCTCAATCTCGTATAAAACCAAGGATAGAAACGTATTAAAACAATTATAAACGCATGGTGACCATACTTCCAAATTATGGGTCACATTAATCCTTCAAGATTAAGATTTTATTCTCAATCATGACTAAAAAAAATGCTCAACACTTGATCAACCAATCATTAACCTTTTTATCTATGTCATGATAAAGTTTGATAATTTCTTTTTTTACCTACTATAAGTGTGATTGATCTCATTGAGTCATCATTCAAACACAATATGCTAATACATCTTGATCTCACGTCAATCAAGAACCAAACCAAACATTAATGTTTCATTTTCGATCAAATTTCTTAGCGATGAACTTGTCATCATTGGCATATCTCTCTTTGATGACAACATTACTATTTACATTCTCAATAGTATTGGAAATGAATGCCATGATATTTCAACCTCGATTTGTACATGTGAACATATATTTAAGTTTAAGGAGTTTCTAAACTATCTACTTGGACACAACAAAAACATTATTCATGAATATCGTATTGATGTTCAAGTATATATTTTAAACTTTGATCATCATATCTCATATTAAACTCAACAGCCTTGGAAATAAAACAACTTTATTCCTACATCATTCCATGGACATGAAAATTCCTTTTTTAGACCATCTCATATCAATACATTCAGAGAAAAACTCATTATGTCTTCAAAACATATAGCTCCAACCCTATTGAGAATAGAAACCACCATGATGTTAATACTTATTTTACCATGCCACATAACTAAACATTTCTTTCAAGTTTTATAATACAATACTATAATAATGAGTAGCTATGCATTTTCTCTTAATACAATGAATCATAATTGGATGTTTGATAGTGGAGCTAGTCATCACGTGATTACCAATCTAAACAATATGTGTATTTTTAATAATATGATGATTTTGAAAAAGTTCAAATAGATGATAAATCATATTCTAAAATATCACAAGTTGGTTCAACCAAATTTCCTGTAACCAATATTGTTGTTAATCTTCAAAATGTTTTTGGGGTACCTATTTCTTAATAAAACCTCATATTTATTTCTAAGTTTTGAAAATAAAATTAAATATATACTCAATTTTACCAGTATTTGTGTGTGTGTCTGTGTGTGTGTGTGTGTGAAGGTTTGAGCAACATATGCGATATTGATGTGTAGTTCAACTAATATTGGTATGTACACCTACACCCGACTTTCTCCTCGTCTTCCTATTGTATTTCGACCACTTCCTCATCTTTATCTATATACAATGCTTCTTTTGTTTGTCATTCACCCTTTAAAGTATGTTTTCTCTATTACTTTTGACAATTAAAATTTTTTCCTCATAATTCATGTTGTATTCTTGTAGTTCGTGTCACAATGCCAAAATAATAAACCATTACCAAACATCCAATTATTCCTTAAACTAAATAAACATGTGTCAATAATAGCCTTAAATTAACTGAATGGTGTTATACCGTGAGCCAATTGTTTTAGTTTTTGGTACCACAAAGAACACGGGACTTGTCACCCCAAATTTTGTGGTGAAAACATAATAGGTTACAAGTGGGTTTATCAAGTTAAAATAAAGGAAAATGGCGACACTGACAAATATAAGGAGAGATGGAAAAATATTTTCAACAAAGGTTTGGTATTGATTATACTCATACATTCGTCAACTTGACGAGAATAATGTAAGAATATAGGTACAGATTCTTTCCCTTTTTAATGATGATTACTCATCTCTCAAAAAGGTGGTAAACAATGAAAATGACGAGTAAATATTTAGAGTAATTAAACTCTCACTCACATATAAAGAGAGTATACTTTACTCTCATTTAAAAAATATTTATTCTTCTTCTTTGTAAACATATTTTCCAACTAATTAGATGAAGACACAAACACAAATATGCAATACCATTTTTTGACATGATCTCTAATAAAATGGTGTATAATCTCAATGTGTTTAGTCCGAGAGTGAAGTATCATATTTTTTGTGAGGTTTATGGTGATAGTTTTGTTGAACTTTATCGGTATAATTCCAAGATTAACTTCATAATCACTTAACTTGTTTCATCCAAACAACTTGCGCACAACAAATACCTGCAGCGACATATTCTGCTTTAGCTATGAATAACACAACACTTGCTAGTTTTTTTCTATGTTAAGAGACAAACAAGCTTCCAAGCAAATGACATGTACCACTATT